TTTTTTTTGCAGGGTATTGTGTACCTCCAAACTCATTATCCTTGGCTATTGTTTTATTGTTTTGTCATGCCATTCACTGGCAAGAAGCCTAAAACGCAGACGGCAGACGTCTTAGTGGAAATTGTGAGGGTTATTAAAACAAGCTAAAAAACCTAACAAGATAAAATATCGTAGCAGCTCAAGGTTTTTTAATACATAAAAAAAATGCATTTTACCTTGTCTGTCCCATTCTCGCTGTATGTTATATACTGGTTATTGGTTGTAGAATACAACACCTCATACTTCGTGACCCACTCGTATAATTCATTATCCCCATTGCCTTGGCTTGCTATAGAACATATATACGACACAGCACCAACATCAATCTGGAGGTAGTCATAACCTTTTTGTTTTTCTGGCCCCCATGCTGAATCTGAGCCAAGTCTTCCCATATAAGGATGGTGTTCGTTATTGTAATATGATGTTGCTGAAATCCTGTGGTTGAGAACCCGTTTAGGGCTTGGTATGCCCAAGCTATGACTTGAACAAGCTGTAAATGTGGATGAAAGATTTGAAATACTTATTTAAATAAGTGTTAAAATTTTTATCTTAAAAAAAGATCTAAATGTCGATTTCAACTCGAGAATAGATCTACCCTGCTTGACAAAGGTTTACTGCTTGTCGAAACAGCAACTTTGTACATGAAAATATATGAATCAAATTTTAAAACAAATTATTAGCAAGTTATATACTATTCTTCGATTAAACGTTACGTCATCGATAAATTGGTGCAATTTACCGACGGCATGCACCACAATGGCCGCCATTCTTTTGTCTTTTAACTCTTCTGGGCATGCTTGCAACCCATCAAGAGATATTAGTAAAACCAACAGGTGATAATTAGCTTTAAGTTTCAGCATTTGAATGTTAGCCTTGACGTTTTATAAAGTCCTTTTGTTAATAGACAAGTTTGAAAGTATAATTTGCATATTTTTACAATAGGAAGAAGAGTATTCGACTAATTTGCATACGAAGTACGCGCATGCGCAGACGTTTCTACTATTCGTGCTGGATATATACTTAGATACTTGAACATTCGTGAACGCATTATATTTACAGTTTTAGCTCAACTTACTTTGATTTACTTGATATCCATAGATCTCTGTCCTCAAGCAAGGTGTAGTCTGGTGTGTCTTGGGTATGATACGTATGTATCTTAAAACAGTGATATTGAAAAGAACTTCGCGTACCACCGTTGAACGATCAAAATTGCCCCAAAATACCTGT